ATAAGCTTTTCATTTTTTAATATTATTAATAATTTTTTATGTAAAATTTCTTTTTTATTTTTTTTATGATTTTTTTTTCTCAGATAAGTTTACTACGTCGCATATTTGACTATAGTCGCTTATAAATGTACTTCACATAAACTGTATATAGTGATTCAATAGTTATTTTTTGGTATTATTTATATGCATATTTATTTACTCTTTGCGGTGTTCTGTTTATTTGGAATTTATGCTAATTTAAAGGTTGACTGAAATGTTTTTTTTTTTTGAATCTAGAGAATTTAATATAAATCGTATATAATTCTAATACTTTTACGTGATTTATGTTTCAGTATACACGTACATATCACTTATTTCATATCAGCAATATAAATATCCATCTTACTCACACGATATTAAAATTTAGTGATTATTTTGTAGACCCCCTTCTTTCCCAAATTATATAGAACTAACTATCAAGTGGATTACACTCTAAGGGAAGTCCCCCTAATTTCGAAAATATTTTGACATACCCCCTTGGGCCCCTCTGAAATACCTATAATACCCTTTTAAAATCAGTTTTAAACCCTAGACACTCACATTTCGGTCTCTCTTCTTCTCCCAGATTCAAAATTCCGCCTCCACAAACCTCCCACAAGTGAAATTGCTTCCCGGAGCCATAACTCTCTCTCCGGTGGTCGGAATTCGATGGTTTAAATACCGTTGGAATCCTCTCGTCGAGCTCTTTCTTTTGGTGGTGATTTCATTCAGTTTGGAGAACAGATCTGTTTCTGCAATTTTTTTTCATTCGACGACGGTGGTCTTGCCAGAGGAGTTCTTTGTGTTCCATCAGTCGAAATTCGACGGGCTACCTACCGTTGGATTCCTCTCGTCGAACTCTATATTTTGATGGTAATTTTTTTTATTTTTATGTTTACAGATTTATTTCTATAATTTTCTGCATTTGTGGGTGCACGAAACTGTGGGTGGTTAGTAGCGGCGCCTAGGGTTTTGGTAGGAGGCGAGCGGGGTGAGGATTCACTGTATGTTTGATTTAAAATTTGTAGCATTTCCCAACAATAACCTCTCTCTCTATCTCTCAATCTCTTAGTGTTTGTTGATTTTTGAGTGTTTTGATGTTTCATCAAATTTTGTTGATTTGCAACTAAGTAATTTTTTTTTTTTTGTTTTGATTTTGCAATTGCAGCTTATGAAAGCCATTGATCCTCTCCTTGAAGGTGTCAAAAAATTGGTTGAAGTCACATGTGAAGAAATGTTTGACAAACTGTATACATTACTATAAATTTATATACATATATAGTAACATGTAGTTATCTATGCATATATTTGTGTATTTTCAATTTTTTATTTTTTTTGGTTCTGCGGTGATTTATAATAAAAATATTGACATTTGTTATTTTTATTGGGGTTTATGATTTCTTTTGTATACGCCATAGTCGTGTGTGTATACAATG